TTCTGTGAAATTATGTTTCATTTCTAGAGCATCCCCTCCCTTTACCAACCACGACTTTTATCAAATATAAATATGAAAAATAACCATCTGTACTTCCACATCAGGTTAAATCTTAGAAAATCCAAAACATTCAGAAAAGATAAAGTGTTGCAACGGAATCGCAATCAGCATAAGGGTCATGTTCTTTTTGGTCATCTTGAGACTTGATTCTAAGACCTTTCATTGCATTATAATTTAATATGGCCATAAAACCTACAATGATGATAAGTTGAAAAGAAAATGTCAAGAGTCGAGAGAAAATGTATGAAACACTTGTTAAAGCCTACATCCCGCAATATCCATCTGCAGCACATCATCAACTATGTTAACAAGTGAATGGTGTGAGCAGATCAAACTCGTTACAGTTCAGTACCTTTATTTGGGATTCGCACAACTAACATTTTTTTTATATACAATGTTACAAGTAGCCTGATCTCGTTTGATGCACGCTTCGACTAACGCTGGGCAGCTTGCCCGGCCCTAGATTTGGCGGTACCTGAGCGTGCATCTCAGCAAGCTCTCTCACTTTTAACAAAATTGCTGCCGGGATGGGCACTGAAGCATGTTTCCGAGAGTTTATCTGCATAATTGCCAACAGAGAAACAGAGAAACCAAGTTAACCCAAAAATTAACAAAAAATTATAATTAAAAAACATCAATGATATAGGGTAGCAGAAATTGCACTAGGCAGAGACAAATTCAATATAAGTGCAGAATTTACTGCCAGTCAAAATTGCAGAAAATTATAAAGATATGATCAAAGTTTGGAAATTTTATTTGCAGAATATTGCCACTTCTGGGAGATATATTTGAATCCAGAATTAGTAGTTAAAGGCTGACCAAAGAGTTCAAAGCAAGCTTGCATTCAAACCCATAAAAAGTTGTACACTTCCCATCTCACGAAACCATAAAAGAGAGGGAAGGGAAATGTCATTTATACTCACTCCATCATCAGGAGGTGTTTGGGCAAAGCTAGCTTTCAACAGGTTCCTCCATTTGTCCTACAAAACAATGTGTGTTTTCTCAGTCTAAAGCATTTCAATCCCTTTTTGTTCAGCATATTTGGATGCTACATGAACGCGGTATTTTGACAATACAAAATGTGAAGCAAAATATACCTTGAGATCAACAGAAGTGCGATAAGAATATGATGCAAAAGAAAGCCTTTTGATTTCAGACCACCTCCCAGTGCCACACTTAGAGACACCCTCAACTAATTTTATAACCTCAACAAGAGTCCAAGCTCGATGGTGTTTCCTTCTCATTCCACCTTTTGCTGTGGGAACCGTTGCAATACCATCATCTGAATTGTCCTCGGATGAATCCGTCTGTTTCAAGCCCAAGTTCTTCCCCAGTTCAATTGTACTCATTACTGAGCGACGCTTGTCTTTCTCTGGTTCAGCA